GATACGGGTACGGCTTGGTACGCTTGTAAAAAATTTTAATTTAGAGTAATGCAAAAAATAATTAAATGGTTTAATTTGTTAAGGTCCAGCCTATAATTAACATTTAATATCAAAAGAAAAAGTATTTCCAGGTACCATGAACAACCTACTTAATTCCTTGATCACTGTAGAAGAATCTCCATTTTAAAAAAGCTCTAAAATCACTCTCCCTGGCATATTAGAGGCAATACAAGCAAGCACAAATCCTTGTAACATCACCTTCTTCAATGGCATGGAGAATAACGCAGGGTGGCCAAAAGAAAACCCATCAAATTATAGTTAATTCTACCTGACAAGTGCGGACCGCAGACCTTTTCCATCCCAACAAACTGAATATATTTCTCATTGAGTTTCTAAAAAAAGGGCTGACCTCCCTTCAGGTGTTACGTTGAATTATATTTACTCTTCTTTGATCAATTTATGTGATTGAAATATCTTAATGACAACAATGCCATTTAGTGCAGCTGAAAATTTCTGTTCTAAGAAGGGGAAACATAGGGTTCGTTTGGTTTGTATTTCTGAAAAAATTTTGAGAAATTTTCTCTACAAATAAGTTTTTAAAAGTAATCAAACCAAACAAATTTTCTCAAAAAAATTTCTCAAAACTTGTAAACCAAACAAGTTTTCCAAACAAATCTCTGTCTCACACACATCAAATCAATCACTTTTTCCAAAACTCTCTCTCAAAATAATTTTTCAAAACATCTTTTGAAAAAAACCAAACCAAACAACTTTTCGTACTTTTAATCTCTAAAACACATCTCTCAAACACAAACCAAACATACCCATAGTCTTTTTTAGTCTCTATATTACCAGATATGTGGGGAGAGCATTAGGCAAGTATTCAGAAGTACAAAATCATCACAGAAGTTAATTAAGAATCTGCAAGGAGATCAGTATCATCCAAAAACTTCCACACAAGCATATAGAAATTTTCTATAAATAAATAATAAATAAAAATAGGATAAGGGCATTTCCGCATACATAAAAAATAATAAAAATGAAAGAAATAAAACAAAATAAAAAAATGAACAGTTCAAGTGTTACCCATATGTAGCCAAGTTGGCCAAGACAATGGTTTTAGGATTTAGATGGCTCAGGATCAACTCTCCTTGGTTATAGTTGTTAAAAGCACGCCTAGACCCCATAAAATCTTCACACTCATCAAGTCTTGAATAATGTGCTAAGCAAGGCCCCTTTAATCAAGTTCACATAAAGCCCCCAAGCCCGCATAGGCTCCAAGCCTATGAACCACGGACACTCCAAAAAAAGGCCATGTACAAGTATCTGAAATGTATCAAATACAGATTGTAGAATTTCACAATTTCTGGAAATTGTGGGATATTTTGAAAACTAGCAAGTAAATTTTTTGGTTTTTTAAAACTTATATTATTTTCTCAATTTTTCTCTTTGAGAAACTGTGAAATTGATTGGTTCATAATTTGAAATTACATAGTTTTTTGATTGAGAATCTACAAATTTTCACCATTGCTGCATAGAAACTATGAAATTTCATAGCTTTTGTACATAAATTGTGGAATTTTATCACAATTGAAGTCTTTTTCATTTTTTTAAAAATTGTGAAACTTCTTAATTTCTACTACGAAATTTGTTAGTTTTATTTATGTCTTCAAAAAATTATACTGTATAGATCTTGTTTTGATAGATCTCCTCAAATAGGTTCCATTCCAAAAATATATATACATATATATATACATATTTTAAAAAAATGTGTAGAACAAAATTAATGGAATTTTAAAGTTTTGAAACCAAATAACTAATAGTCTAACATGCCATTTTGGTTGCTCTGCAAGCATCTTATATTTTAAAAAGGTAAGGGTATTTCAATCATGGGATGACATGTGGGATGTATGGGTAAAGAAATCTTTTATGGGACTTAGTTTACTATAACTGCACATTATGGAACCTGTAGAAAATTTCTCCTAAAAAAAAGGTTCATGGAGTGCCCAATAATTTAGGAAAATCCGCATACACACACCCCACCCCAAAACAACACACACACACACAAACAAACAAAAAACTAGCTAATAAGTAAAGAAAATGAAATTTAATAAGAAGACATCGCAATGCTAGTTGGACACTATGAAGTACATGAAACATTTTGGTACGAGGAACTCAATTAAAAGATCATCTTTCAATAGAGAAATGAGAATATAACAATGTCAAAGGGCAAGGAAAAGAGTAAAAAGAAAATAAAAAAGTAAGTTTTCTAAACCCACTTACTTATAAGCTGGAATCCAGACATCTGGATTGTTAGATGTGGTGAACAAAACAAACATTTGATACAATGTGGTGCCAAATGATGTAAAAACTGTCTTCCCCTGTTCAGTATCTTCAAACATGACATATGCTATCCAACTGGAGAACAGAAGAAATAAAAGCCCTAAAGCCTGCATTTGAAGAAAATCATAAAGCAATAAGCAGAAAGCAATAGATACAATCAATGCAATCAAACTAGTGCAATTAAACCATAAATTACCAAAAACATGAACACACATAACACAACATTAATCTATCAAACTAACCAAACCAAGCAAAGCCTTATGTCCCAATCAAGTGGCATTGGCCACATGATTCTTTTTTCACCATTCAGTGCTATCAAGGGCTATATGCTAAGTTAAATTAAATAAATCCATATTCTTTTTACTACTGCATCCCATGTCAACTTAGGTCTTCGGCCCCCTTGCTGTGAAAAGTGTAGTTTAGTCTTATGTTATTTATAATATTAGTTGAGGGTACTTTAGTCTTGGTAAATGTAATTAGGCACTTGGGGTTTTCTTATTTGCTATTTAAGTTGTATCATCTTTTACTATTCTGATTATCAATAATATTATATTTGTTGTATACTTCGTACATACTTCGTATCATGGTTTTAAAGCAGGTCCGACAATCCTAGCCGCAATTCACCTTCCAACGACCAGCCGGAGGCTTGCATTCACTGTTGGTGAAAAATATTTTAGAGAAGAGAAAGTGATAGGGATTGAGCAAGACCTCATCCCCTTTTATATTAAGAATAAAGCATAATTAGAGGAGTGTCATAAGGCATGAATTATGGGCACTTAGGGTCTTATGTTATTTATTCTATTAGTTGAGGGTAGTTTAGTCTTGGCTAATGTAATTAGGCACTTAGGGTTTTCTTTTTTGCTATTTAAGTTGCATCTTCTTTTACTATTCTGATTATCAATAATATTATATCCGTTGTATGCTTGGTACATACTTCATATCTCCGTTTATGGTATCCTATCAATCTTCCTTACGGTTGCATTCATAGGTCTTATTGAAGATAAATTGAGAGGGAACATGTTAAGATGATTTGGTCATGCATAACGAAGACCTATGAATGCAACCGTAAGGAAGATTGATAGAGTGCTCCAGGGTATAATATGGTTGGTGTTAGCGAAGAAATGGGCAACAAAAGGTTACATTGATGTGATTAGGGACATGTATGAAGGGATGGTGACCACTATTAGATTGCCTGCTGAAGAGACAAATGAATTTCCTATCACTGTAGGGTTACACCAAGGATTTACCTTAAGTCCTTATCTTTTTACTTTAGTTATGGATGAGTTGACGAGAAATACCCAGAATGACGTGCCACGGTGTATGCTTTTTGCAAACGATATAGTGCTAGTGGATGAGACTAGAGAAGGAGTTAATACAAAATTGGAGATTTGGAGAAAAGCTCTTGAATCTAAAGGATTCCGGATAAGCAGAACTAAGACAGAGTACATAGAGTGTAAATTTAGTAACAGTAACAATGAAAGCAGAGGAGAAGTGAAGATTGAGAATCAAGAACTACCTAAGAGTGAACATTTTCGTTTAGGGTCGATTATCATAACAGCAGGGGAGATTGATGCGGAATGTGGCCCATAAGATTAAGACGGGATGGTGTAAGTAGAGAAGTGTGTCTGCGGTACTGTGTGACAAATGAATATCCACTAGACTTAAAGATAAGTTCTATAGAACGGCTATTAGACCAGCGATGTTGTATGGGACGGAGTGTTGGGCAACAAAGAAACAACATGTAGATAAGATGAGTGTGGTTGAGATGAGAATGCTAACGTGAATATGTGGCAAGACTAGACAAGACAGAATTAGAAATGAATGTATTCGGGAATGGGTAGGAGTAACACTAATAGAAGATAAGTTGAGAGAGAATCGATTGAGATGGTTTGGTCATATTCAACGGAGACCAACAGAGACAGTAGCGAAGAGATACGACACTGTAACGGTAGATGGAAGTGTTAGGGGACGGGGTAGGCCTAGATTAACGTTGGTTAGCGTTGTAAATAAAGATATGGATCTACTTAATTTGACTAACGAAATGGCCTTTGATAGGGCCGCGTGAAGAAGAAAGATTCATGAAACTGACCCCATTTGGTGGGACTTAAGGATTGGTTTGGTTTGGTTTGGTTTGGTTAGGTGTTACTTCTACCATTTCACGAATATATTCATTTTTTATTCTATATTTTCTAGTCTTGCAACATATGAAGCACCAACACTCCAAAATAGGTGTCGTAGCAATGTCAGCCACAGGGACACATTGTATTTAATTAATTTGTTTTCAAGGGACACACTCGGGCATGCCACCTGGTTTTTTTCCCCCCTCTTCTTAGTGCTTTTGATGGATGTTAGATGTTGAATATTTATTATTTTTTTCTTAAATATAAATAGTTAATATTTATTACTTTTTACTTAAATTTAAATAATTAATAGATGATCTATAAAAAAAAAAACACATAAACAATAAAAGTTAGCTTAAGAGTTATGATTTTTTTTATATATATATATATTGTTTTGGCAGGGCTAAAATAGCCAAAAAGCCAATACAAAAAAATCAACTCTTCTCTCTACTTTTCTGTACATTTTAGCCAACTAAAATAGTCAATTCCCAAAACAACCCTGAATTAGTGTAAGTTTTTGTTAATTTTGATTGTTTGTGGACATAACATTAATCTACATAACAAAAAAATATTTTTAATGTTGTTTCTTGCCGTGTCAAAGTTCCTATTTTTTTGAAATTAACGTGTCCTATGTTATGTTAGTGTCCATGTCTGTCTATGTGCTTCTTAGCTTGCCACACATCCATCTATGCATTCTGATCTCATCTACACTCATTTCATGCACGTGTTGTTTCTTAGTTGCCCAACACTCTGCCCTATAAAGCATTGTTGGCCTTATAGTTGTTCCATAAAATTTTCCTTTCAATTTTGTTGGTATTCATCAATTACATAATATGTCAGAAGCATTCCTACACTTGAGCCAACTTACTTTGATCCTATGAATCACATCATCTCCAACCTCACCATCCTTATGAATAATCAAACCTAAGTAACAACAATGTTCACTATTTGTTGTCTCCTGCTTTTCCATATTCACTTCTCCATTATTCCCCCTTCTACTGTTGCAAAAGTTACATTCCATATATTAAGTTTTCTTTCTACTAATCTATCAAATCGGAAAACAATATTCAGTTGCGCATGTCATGTTGCAAGCAGAATAATTAACATTGAAGTACATCACCAAACATTCATATATTGGTAAAGCAAGTAAATACAATAATAAGTACATACCAAGATATTTAAGTATGTGCTAAGCATTCCAGCCAAGATGAGCATGCTATCCCGTAATTCCCTAGGATCAAGGGGGGGAAAAGAAAGAAGGAAAAAAATCAAAGATCAAACTATATAAACCACAAAAACCTTAACGCTGCCTAGAAGAAAGCAATGCAAGAGACATACGTGCACCATGATAATTGCAAGAGACATACGTGCACCATGATAATTGCAAGAGACATACGTGCACCATGATAATTGCAAGAGACATACGTGCACCATGATAATTGCAAGAGACATACGTGCACCATGATAATTGCAAGAGACATACGTGCACCATGATAATTGCAAGAGACATACGTGCACCATGATAATTAACTGCACAAAATCTAATATAATTTTGTGAGTTCTAATGCTAAATTTGTACTTTTCATATCAAGAAATGGCCCAAAGGCCAGGTTTGTCAATCATCATCCCTTTACGCATTACAGCATAATAAATGACTATGCATCATATTTTTTTGGTATTATGTTTTTCTATTAGATGGAAGAAAAGGAAATTAGGACTCAGGAAGGAGGAAGCGGTATTCAATACCACCAGCATAACTTCATCTTCAAAACTTCTAAACAGAATTACCATTCATCAAAAGTGAAATGTCCAAATTATGCTGCCCCAATGATCATTGCACAGGCAAAAGGTTGAGGTGGTTTGCACAAGTGCAATGCTAATAATTTCACAAGCAATTTAGTTGACCTTCAAACTAGCTTGACACTTGAACAACTTCAGTTCAAATGACACTTCCTCTCACTAATTGACTGCAAGAGAGTCTCCAAACAAAAATAAATCACAAGCTCTCACAATGGAGGCTGCCTTTTTTTTTTTTCAAGTTTGATACATCTATTACCACCAAGGATCCTCTAGAGTGAAATTTTCCTAAAATTTCCTAGAGTGCTATATTGTGTGGTTGAGATTTACTGGCAAGTCACATCAGAAAAATTGATGTGACTTGCCAATAAATCTCAACCATACACTGTAGCACTTTAGAAAACTTTAGGGAAAAATCACTCTAGAGGATCCTTGCTCATCTATTACATCACATGACGGAGTTTCCTGACAAAGAAAAACATCTGAAAGGGTTTCAAATTCAAAGGACAGTTCAAAAAGATGAAAGTACAGATAGTAAGTAGTAGCTTTACACCTCATGGCATAAGTCAAAAAACAAATAGAGTATAATTTATGCGGCAATGATCACCCAATATCAAAGATTAAACTAAAAAAAAAAATGTATCAATTGCTACAGGAAATTTAAAATGATGGACTCTATTCATGTCATACCTAATATTCAGAATGAAAAAAACAACCCGGATGTAAGGTGCAATCCTTAATGGAAGAGAATAGAAGGCCACTGGCGATAAATAAAGAGCATAGACTAATAAATCAGCAACCAAAATTAAAATGAAAATGACCTGAAAAAACAACAGCAAAGAGTTTAGTATGTTAGAGATGAAATTTTAATTAAGTACAAGCGGTATACATTATAGGAAAATACTTAATAGTTCAACCAATGAAACAATATTCTGAAGAATGGACTAAGCAAGCCAAGAAGAAATCAGAAAAATAAAAATGAAATTATAACTTTTTAAATTCAACATAACCAAACCAAACCAAACCAATTCTTAAGTCCCATCAAATGGGGTCGGCTACATGAATCCTTCTTCTCCACGCGGCCCTATCAAAAGCCATTTCATTAGTCAAATTAAGTAGACTCATATCTCTATTTATAATGCTAGTCAACGTTAATCTAAGCCTACACCGTCTCCTAACACTTCCATCTACCGTTACAGTATCGTATCTCTTTACTACTGCCTCTGTTGGTCTCCGTTGAATATGACCAAACCATCTCAAACAATTCTCTCTCAACTTATCTTCTATCGGTGCCACTCCTACCCATTCCCGAATACACTCATTCCTAATCCTGTCTTGTCTAGTCTTACCACACATCCACCTTAGCATCCTCATCTTAGCCACACTCATTTTATCTACATGTTGTTTCTTGGTTGCCCAACACTCCGTCCCATACAACATAGCTTGTCTAACAGCCGTTCTATATAACTTACCTTTTAGTCTAGTGGGTATTCGTTTATCGCACAATACCCCAGACGCACTTCTCCACTCACACCATTCCGCCTTAATCCTATGGGCCACATCTGCATCAATCTCTCCGACTGTTGTGATAATCAACCCTAAATAACGAAAATGTTCACTCTTAGGCAGCTCTTGGTTCTCAATCTTCACTTCTCCTCTGCTTTCATTGTTACTGTTACTAAATTTACACTCCATGTACTCTGTCTTAATTCTGCTTATCCAGAATCTTTTAGATTCAAGAGCTTTTCTCCAAATCTCCAACTTTGTGTTAACTCCTTCTCTAGTCCCATCTACTAACACGATATCATCTGCAAAAACCATACACCATGACACGTCATCCTGAATATTTATCGTCAACTCGTCCATAACTAAAGCAAAAAGATAAAGACATAAGGTAGATCCTTGGTGTAACCCTACAGTGATAGGAAATTCATTTGTCTCTCCAGATAGCGATCTAACAGTGGTCACTACCCCTTCATACATGTCCCTAATCACGTCAATGTAGTCTTTTGTCACCCCTTTCTTCTCTGACACCCACCATATTATATCTCGAGGCACTCTGTCATATGCTTTCTCAAAGTCGATAAACACCAAATGAATGTCTCTTTTCATTTCTTTATGCTTTTCTATTACTCTCCTCAAAAGATAGATCGCTTCCATTGTTGACCTACCAGGCATAAACCCAAATTGATTCTCTGACACCTCTGTTATGTCTCGCAATCGGCGTTCCATCACCCTCTCCCACACTTTCATTATATGACACATTAGCTTGATTCCTCTATAGTTGTTACAATTCTGGACATCACCTTTATTCTTATAGATTGGCACTAAAATACTCTTCCTCCACTCATCTGGCATGTTCCTAGTCAACAAAATTTTGCTAAACAACCTAGTCAACCAAGCAACTCCCTTTTTACCCAAACACTTCCAAACTTCAATAGGGATATCATCGGGTCCTAAAGCCTTATTTGATTTCATCTTCTTAAGTACAATCTCCACTTCAAAGTTCCTAATCCTACGATAGAACCTATAGTCTTAGTTTATCGTATCACTGGTTATTTTTTCCCCTATTGTCGTACTTCCATGTTCCTCATTTAACAGTTTCTCAAAATAATTCCACCATCTTTCCTTAATCTCACCATCCTTCATCAATACCTTAGAATCCTCACTCTTGATGCACTTTACTTGATTAAAATCTCTTGTTTTCCTCTCCCGTATCTTAGCAAGTTTGTATACCCTCTTCTCTCCCTCCTTACTATCTAGTCTAGTGTATAGGTCATTATAAGCTTTCAACTTAGTCTCTCTCACTACTTTCTTGACCTCCTTATTAGCCAATCTATAGCTCTTAAGGTTTTCCTCAGTTCTATCATTCTGCCACTTTTTAAAGCACTCTTTTTTTGCCTTAACTACGGCTTGAACCTCTTCAAGTTTCCCTAGAACTGGGTCCCGTTCCTTTAGACTCTCCAAGCCCTTCCCTTGAGATTTTCCTCATACAATTGGCCATCGAATTCCACATAGTATTAGCATCACCTTCTAAGTCCCAAGTACCTTCCTTATCCATTCGATTCTTAAATATTTCTAGTTTATTCCCTTTTAAGTCCCACCATCTCGTCCTACGACGCCCACCACCCTTCCTACCTTGGTATTGCCCTCTAAAACATAAATCTAGTACCAAAATCTTATGTTGAGAGACCAGACTCTCTTCAGGAATCACCTTACAATCATTGCATTTTAGGCAGTTCACTTTTTTCACTAAGAAGTAATCTATTTGGCTCTGAACTAATCCACTCTTAAAGGTTATCAAATGCTCCTTCCTCTTCTTATACATAGTATTGGCCACCACTAGGTCAGAAGTCAACGCAAAATCTAAGATTCTCTCTCCAGCCTCATTTCTGTCACCAAAACCGTATCCACTATGCACCCTTTCATAACCTAGGTTATCTATGCCCACATGGCCAGTAAAATCTCCACCTATAACCAGGTTCTCTCCTACAGGTATCTCCTGTAAGATCTCACCCATTTGCTCCCAAAAATCCCTCTTAGTATGATCATCTAACCCTACTTGAGGGGCGTAAGCGCTAATAATGTTCACTATATTCCCTCTCATAACTAGTTTAACTAGCATAATCCTATCTCCTTTCCTAGTGACCGCCACCACACTTTCCACAAGACCCTTGGCAATTATGATTCCTACCTTATTCCTGCGCCTATCCTTACCGCTATAATAAAGTTTAAAACCAGTATCCTCAATTTCCCTAGCTTTCTCTCCCATCCACTAAGTTTCTTGTATGCAAGCTATACTAACTCTCCTCCTAATCATAACATCTACCAATTCTATCGTTCTACCAGTTAAGGTTCCTATGTTCCAAGTGGCTACCCTAAACCTATAGTCTTGGACTAGCTTCTTTACCCGCGCTCGTCCAGAAAAACGTCTTTACCCGCGCTCGTCCAGAAAAACGCGGAAACCTTTGCCCATTTTTCACCGCACCCAGGCGTCGATGCGGCGCCCCTTGCTCACTTTCGAAACACCCGGAGGCAGGCGCAATGTGTCACTTGAGGGAAACGACCTAGCATTTAAACGATTCAAAGTAGGATTCATTTTCATAAGGGATCCAAGTGGCTTTTTTACGTGTTGGGTGTTGGCTGTCAGCTATCTAACACACAACCCTCCTCCTTAACTCGGGCTTGGGACCGGCGGAGTTGTTAACAACCCCGGCGGAGTTTTTAAATTCAACATTTGGCCTTAAATTTATAAAAAGAAGGTTTGAACAGTTATCATTTATATAGTGGATGCATTTATCTTCTCTTTTAAGCAGCTATGTTACATACAAAATTGTTGTGAAGTTTAAGCCGACAGCAACAACACGTTAAGATATGAAAGTGAGACTATATATTTTTCAATGCCAATGTTTAATAAGTGATAAATCAATGTCACCTACAACGAATGAACACCAATAGCATGTGTATATTGAAACACAAATGGAATTAACTATTGACGACCAATCGAAGTTGTAGATATCTCATATACTAACTCACATTGTGGACATGTAAATGGTGACGTGTATTATGTGTGAGCCTTAAGGGACACGAGTAAGGCCCACGCGAAAAAGGCACATTAGCATATTGCATGTGAAGTCCCAAGGATGACACTCAAATGAACATCCTAGCACTGCAGGACTCAAGTATGGCAATAGTTGTGTATCACAAGAGGTCATCATCGTGGCAAGTCATGTTGCGTGTCCCTTCATGAACAATATTACACCACATGACTTAGGCGGCTAGGTAAAATGGGAGGACCTAGGTACATTGATGTCTTCGGCACACACCGCAGAACCTTAGAGTTCTTCTGGCTTAGAGGTGAAAGAGAAAGGTTTCATCCCAATGCCCAGTGTTTTAAAAAGCGCGCCTAGGCGCTAAGCGAGGCAAGGCGAGGCGCAGGGCTAGGGCTCAAAGCAGACGAAGCGAGGTGCATTGCGAGAAGCGCACGTAAAGCTCTGAGGCGCGCGCCTTTCTTTGAGGCTCGAAGCGCACGCTTCATGCACTTCGGCTAGGACTGAGCTGTTTGTGTACTAGCCACATAGGATTAAAACTCTTATACAAATCTGTTGGTGAGCCTCTTTGAATCGACAAAGCCCTAAATTTGTGACGACCAAAATTTTGATTCGACGAAGTGTTGCAACCAAACAGCTCGAATCGACGAAGACGTGAGCTTCAGGTTCGACATCGACGTGAATTTTGTTTTGACGAGAGCTTCAGGTTCGACATTGACTTATGTTCGACATCGACGTGAGCTTTAGCTTCAGCTTCGACATCGACTCAGGTTCGTCTCTTTCGTTTCTTCTTCTCTCTTCTCTTCTTCTTCCTTTTCGTCTCTATTTTTCGTTCTTCTTCTCTCATCTCTTCTCTCTGTTTTTCGTTTCTCCTTTTTTTTCTTCTCGGTTTTTCATTTTTTCTTTTCCTTTTCTTTCGTCTGTCTTCTCCTCTTCACTGGTATCTGATTCAAATTTTTTTTTTTTTATTTCTTCTTCATTTTTTCATTCTTCTCTTCTCTAGTCTCTGTTTTTTTCTTGCCTTTGCTTGTCTTGTAAAAATAAAAAAAAATAAAAAAAAAAAGGAACAGACAATAACTTGATGAGTCAAATGTCAAGTGCTGAAAGTGGAAGGAAAGATCCAGCATGGAAGTATTCAACGATGGTAAATCTCAAAAACTTAAGTAAGTTCAAATGCAATTTTTGTGGAAAAGAGATGAATGGGGATGTCTGTCGAGTTAAGCAGCATCTTGTTGGAGGGTATAGGAATGTGACTAAATGTGTTAGATGCCCAACTGAGGTTAGAGATGAGATTTCTGAGTTTATTGCTAAAAAAAAGCAAGTTAAGGAGCAAATCAACCTGATGCCTGATTTTGATGATTTGGTTGATGAAGAAGATTTTGAGGATGAGGATGATCTTGTAGAACTCCCTCAACATGGTAAAAAGTCGATTCCTACTCAAGGTTCTACTCAAAGAACCAGCTCTGGTTCTGTTCAATCCAAACTTAAAAGGCCTAGGAAGATAGGGCCTATGGATTGTTTCTTCACACCTGATCCAGATGTGGTGGCGCAAAAACAAAAAGGCAAGGGGAAGCAAAGTAAAATTGATGAAAATGATCCCTATAGGAAAGAGTTAATGCAACGGGCGTATGTTAGAATTGCAAGATGGATGTACGACTCTGCGATTCCTTTCAACGCAGTGAATTATGACAGTTTTGGGCCAATGATTGAAGCTATCGGGCAATTTGGTCCTGGTTTGAAACCACCAACTTACCACATGATACGAGTTCCTTACCTCAAAAAAGAAGTGGATCGTGTTAACAAATTGATGAAGGAGCATAGAGACGATTGGCCAAAGTATGGATGTTCTATAATCTGCGGTGGTTGGACAGATAAGAGAAATAGGACTTTGCTTATTTTCTTAGTGAATTGTCCAAGAGGCATTATGTTTATTGAATCCATTGATGCATCTAGTTACTCAAAGGATGGAAATAAGATGTTTAATTTGCTTGATAAGTTTGTGGAGAAAATTGGAGAAGCTAATGTGATCCAAGTCGTCACGGATAGTGCGGCAGCAAATGTGTTGGCAGGTAAAAATCTTATTATGTTAATAGTTTACAACATAAATCATTTTGTTTCATATCATTAATTTTATGTTTTGGTTGTTACTTCTAATAGGGAAGTTTTTGGAGGCAAAGAGACCCCACTTGTATTGGACGCCTTGTGCAGCCCATTGTTTGGATTTGATGTTGGAAGATATCTTCAAATTACCCAATTTTAAAAAGACATTTGAAAGGGCAATTGGGATACATGGTTACATTTATAACCGACCATCTTTGTTGAATATGATGAGGCGTTTTACTCAGTTGAAGGAGTTAGTTAAGCCTGCCAAAACTAGGTTTGCAACGGCTTTCTTAACTTTACAAAGGGTTTATCAACAAAGGAACAATTTGAGGAAGATGTTCACTTCAGAGGAGTGGACCAAAAGCAAATGGGCGAAGGAGCCACAGGGTAAGAAGACAGCTCAAATACTACTAATGCCTTCATTTTGGAACCATTGTCACCTTGCCCTCCAATTTTCATGTCCTCTTGTTCATGTACTAAGAAAGGTTGATGGTGAAGAAAAGCCTCCAATGGGTTACATTTATGAGGCTATGGATAGGGCTAAGGAAGCTATTGCAAATAGCTTCAATGGAAATGAAGAGAAGTACAAAGATGTGTTTCAAATCATTGACCAAAGGTGGAATGTTCAATTGCATCGCTCTTTACATACAACTGGGTTTTATTTAAATCCAAAATTTTTTTACAAAGATCCAAGGGCTGCAAAGGACAGAGAAATCGTATCAGGCCTCTATCAATGTATATCAAGGTTGATCCCAGCATTAGAGGTCCAAGATAAAGTTACTGCAGACTTGATAAAATATGAAAATGCTGAAGGACTTTTTGGAATACCTATGGCAATTAGACAAAGAACTACAAGGGTACCAGGTGATCTATGTTCATCCACAAAATTAAGTTAGTAGTCAATTCCTTGTAGTTTAATTATTTGTGAAGTGTTAACCAATAATCATTTACAGCTGATTGGTGGAGTTCTTATGGTCACGATGCTCCTGAGTTGCAACAATTTGCCATCAAAGTTCTTAGTCTTACTTGTAGTTCATCTAGTTGTGAGCGGAATTGGAGTGTGTTTGAACATGTGAGTATCCGTTGTCAAATTTGGAGAACTCTAAAATTTTCTTCCAAATTTTTTTAGTTATATATGAATTTAAATGTTTTTTTATTTATTGTTGCAGCTTCACAGCAAAAAAAGAAATACGCTAGCTCAAAAACGTCTCAATGACGTCTCAATGATTTGGTGTTTGTCAAGTATAATAGAGCATTGAAACGTTGATACATTTCACGTGGCAAATTTGATCCTATCTTTTTGAAAGATATTGATGAAAGCAATGAATGGCTGATTGGGAGAATGGAGAATGAGCTTGTGTTTGATGATGATGATGATTCTTTGGGGTGGGATGATGTTGTTGTAGCTGTTGGAGTTGAGGAAAGTAGCCAAAGAACTAGATCAACAACAACTAGGACAACTCCAATTGGTTCAAGCTCACGTCGACTTGTAGATGAGGAAGAGGAATGGGAAGATGTAGATTCAGATGAGGAAGAAGAGGAGGATGTGGAGGGATATAAATCCAATGATGACGAAGGAGATGATGGAGATGATGCTTGTTATTAAGTTCTTAGACAATGCATCCATGGGACTAGTCACTAGATGTTTAGTTGTTTTCAACTTTGTGGATTATTAAGTTCTTATGTTTGTTGTTTGATGTTACTTTCATGGTTTTTGGAATGTTGAATATTGTTTTGTTCATTTTGGAATTCTATAAATTTTTGCTTATGTTCAAAATTGTGCTATATATTGTGCTATATTGATATTTTGCTTAACTTCTATAACTTGCGCCTCGCTTTGGTGAGGCGCGCGCCTCGCCTTGCGCCTCGGCGCTTAGGCTCCAGGTGACCTTGGCGCCCCGATGCGCCTAGAACTTTTTAAAACACTGCCAATGCCATGTCCCCATTGGGCTCATGTATGGAATCTCGAGGGTCGAAGTGAATCCTCCTATGAAATTGGTACGATCTAACACATTCTAATGGAATCCATTTTGCCTTCGCTTGTCAAAAACCTATGAAATTGGTACGATCTAACACATTCTAATGGAATCCATTTTGCCTTCGCTTGTCAAAAAACGAAAAGCGATCACAAAACAGATACCAAAACTTCATTTTAAATCAGATTCTAACGAATTTTATATTGTTGAAAATGTCTTTGAAAATACTACGAACTAGCGTGGACTGATTATGGAAAACCCTAACTTTTTCACATAAAATGTCAATGGAAGCAAAATCCTTTCACAAGGCTAAAAAGGGTGGTTTTCAAAGGAATTAAACCATGACGATCCATAGGGGTTCAAATGTGTCATAAAAAAATGGATTAAGGTATTTGGCTAGGTTAAAGGAGGTCTCGGTGCATCAAATCCAAGTCAAACTACACATTTTGAGAGTTTTGAATCATCTCTCGTTTTCATCATTGGATGGTGTCCCAAAGTGGGGCTCGAGTGTTATATCCGATCAAAATGGAATGTCTACAGATGACAATCTTGAGTAAGACCTCAAACCCAAAAGCTAGCTAGTGAAGTAAGAGTAAGTAGCCTCATGCATGGTTGTTAGAATCGTACGAGTCGCAATTCAATTCGTACGATTCGATACAAGTTTCATCCTACACGATATGACTTACAACTTTGAATCGGAAATTCCTCTGAATCGCACGATTCAATATCTGTATCGCATAGAATCGTGCGTATCGCACGATTTGGACTTCTCGCGATTCGCAAGAAAAGACATCATTTTTTTTTCTTTCTTTATTTTCAATCGATTATGACTCAAGTGAGTTTGAAACCAAATCAAATCAAAGAAGAAGAAGGTCAGATCGTAGAAAGAGAAGCAGAAGAAGAGAGACCAAATCGACATACCTATTCTTCACTGTCTTCACCATCTTCTTCCATCAGGTATACATCTCCCCTTCACTCTTCTGCTCTCTTATTTCTCCAATTTTTTCCTTTCTTTTTTTCTTAATTATAGTTAGATGAGAGAGAACAGAGAGAGAGAGAGAGAGAGAGAGAGAGAGCAGATTAGACGAAGATAGAGAGACAGCTATGTGAACCTCTTCAATTTTTTTAACCTTTTTTGCTTGGGAGTTGTGGTTGTTGGGAACTGCTGTTGACAAATTTGATTGGACCAAGAAAGCTTTATGGACAGCTGTTGCTAGTTCAAAACTTTGCCTTTTGGATAACACACCATTGGTTAAAAAGAAGTGGTTAAATAGAAGAGCAATGTGTTGGCATTTGCACAATAATTAATGTATAAACTTTTTATTTTTTTATTTTTATAGATTGAAACATATAAACTATTAATTAACTTAGAAATTGATAATTGTTTATTACAAATTACAAATTATATGAATAAGTAAATTATTTGTTCAATAAAAATTTCAATACATGTATATACATATACATATATACATATTTAAATATATTTAATAAGAAATGTGAATCTTATGATTCACAATTCAAAATTTTGGCAAAACGATTCACGATTCAATTCGTGATTTAACAACCATGGCCTAATGCTTATACATTGCAAATCCCCTTTGGGGTGATATGGGATTTCACTTTACATTAGGTAAAACTCAACTCTAAAATCTAACTTGTGAACTAAGGGTTCCCTCACAGTTATACACTTCATCCCTTTTGTAGCCAGGCAATGTAAGACTTCACTTCACTTTACCCAGGCAATGGAACACACACACTACCCATCCCTAAGGTACATTCAACTCTGATACCATGTGACACGATCTTGGGTAGAACTACACCCCAAAAGTCAGCTTGTGAAGTGAAGGTGCTCTCACGCTTATAAATTGCATATCCTCTTTGTGAAGTGAAGTGAAGGTGATGTCGGGGTTTGCTTCACTGTTGGATTGGGTATGGATCAGAGAGACCAACATTGGGATGGTTCTTTTGCCCAAAATAATTACTGATATACAAAGCCTAAAGTGTCTTCTTTTATTGGTGAGTAGAAGAAGATGACAACAGCATAAAAGAACAAGTGCAGAGAAGAAAAGAAACAGCATAGAGTCAGAGAAGTTGAGAACCGAAGAAGCTGAGAGAGAGCAATGCGAGGAGAGAAGAGCCCAGAAATCTCAAAAACCCCTACTTATGTGTCACAGTTCTAGTGCATCATGGGCTAGTCACTTGAGTGGTTATTTGACTAGTATGTGGCCATTAAATAGGCATGGAAAACCCCCACATGATACGCTAGAAAATACACAATCAAAATTAATCCCCAAAATATATGTACAGAAAAAATAAGAAAAACTTAACCCCAAACTACATCACCTCAGGAGGCACCTCTGGAACACCTATATGTGCATAAGCCCTTGCATGTTACCTAGTAACCTAGCTTATCATGAAGCCAAGCAAAGTAAGCCAAACTACTAAGGCAGAAGGCCCTCAGTTTTTAATATTGAGACCCTTCCGTGTTGTTTTCAAAATCCCATACAGTCAAACAAAAACAACAATGATGATAATAACATACGTAAGGTTTAAGATCAACAATGGATTTCATGTGCTTTTTGAGCTTATTGTTCAATTCTCACCACATTAGAAATTAGACAACAATGTTTTGTGGCTTAAGCAGTACCAAGTGTCATGCTTCTGCTGCTTTTCAAGACAAAATGACTTGGTGTACTGAGGCCTCATGATGCTGCCTCAAGCATGTGAAGATAAGCATGGTGAAGCTTAAGTCCATTCATGGTTCACACTTTCAAAAAAATCAATGGATTCAAAACAGATCCATGCCGGACGCAACAATCTGTATATTTAAAGTGAGGGTGGTGAATCTAGACACCTACGTATTACATTCATTGGTGAGTATTTGGATGAGTTACCAATTCAATCTTTAAGGCTAAGTATAGCAAAACACCCTTTTATAAAGTCATGAAAACACGGAAAGAGCAAAGTAGATGTCCATGGTCCTTCATTAGATCAAATTCTAGAGAAATGTTATGTAGGCTACAGATAAAAGGAAAGGGGAGTATAAAGCATCAAAAGATAACCTTGAGCAAACATTTGGTCCCGCAACATTGGCTTCCATATTGTACAAAAACATTAAAATTATACAAAATCACAAAATTGTGAACATGAACATTATGAAAAACATAAATTCCTAGTCAAGCATGCTCACACCAGATTTGGAACCTGAATTTAGAGATTTAAATGAATGGATTTGACATCAATTGTAAAAGGATTAAAACTTAAATTTAGGTCTCGTTTGTTAACTATACATTTTAGCCCAAAAGCCAAAAAAGTTACTACAAGTTATGACATTACTCTCTCTACTTTTCTTCACATATTTTCGTAAAAAGCCAAAAAGTTACTAAAATAGCCTGGTAGTTTCAATAGCTTAGATTTAGGTTTCAATGAGATGCATTAATGGATTGAAGGACATACATGGATAAATTTGAAATAAAAGTGAGAGGAGTAGGTCAAAATCCTTCTCAAAAAGGATTCTAGTTGCTAAAATGTTCCTAATAAAGCATTTATTCCATCTTACTCTATCCTCCTTAAGCCTCTCAATTCCACTCTATTAGCCAACCCAATAAATTTGTAAATTTTAAACTCAAATCTATTTTGTAAATTGTTAACAACCAACTCATCAAAAACTTTAGGGGTAACTTTATTTATACTCTCTCCACACCCCCTCACGTGTGGCCACTGGCCAGACTAAACAGGCCAAACATGTGCAAGTAGTATAATTATGAGGCAGAAGGATCAAACACAATACCTATTGCCAGTCCTCATACCCCATGTTAAATTGTTGAGCAACAACTCACCTAAAATTCAAGCTGTTAGAGCGATGAGTGACTTTATTATTTATATTCTCAACATTTTCATTTCAAAATCATCAATCCAAATGTAGCCTTACTCTTTAACGTCACTATATGCCGATCATTGCATGGAAAACCTTTTCAAACATTTTTTGGCGAAAAGCAACCCACTAGGAGGTTTAAATATATTTTTCTTGAGCATGAGACACATAAATTAGCTACTATGCAGTACATATTTGTTAATGGCAATAGAATAATAGAAGGCACTCATGCTTGGTCAATTTCAATTTCAATCAACTACCCAGCAATCCAACTTTGACACATTGATTTCCATTCATGAGAAACAAGAAGTAATAAAGTCATCAAAGCTAGGATTCTGGGAAAAACATATATCCTGGCCTAGAAAATAGTTCCTGCCTAGCTAATTTAAGAGCAACAAAGATGGCAAATGTGACAATGCACTCCGCATGCATACAATCTATCCGATAACAGGAAGTAAAAAAAATGTAAGTAATAAAAAAACAAGGATTGCTCCCTTTTCCTCTTGTTTGTTTAAAAGAATGATAGGTTTTACAGGTCTGGATGAGAAACTAAGCAGTTCCATCAAATTAAGTCCCTATATAAAAGAAAAAGGGAGAGTAATAATAAAACAAAAGGGAAAAAATAACTTATTGTAGGTTTAGAGAAGCAAAAGAGTTAGGGAATGAGTTAGACTTCATTCCCTTTTATATTGATAATACTAAGTAATTACAGGAGTGTCATAAGGCATAATATATGAGCCAACCCATTACACCAATCAAGGGAATAAATAAGAATAAAATACAATCACTTATTTCCTATTCTAACACTTCCCCTCAAGCTGGTTTGAAGATATCTCTCATGCCCAACTTGTTGAGAATGCCATGAAATGATTTGCTCCCTAGCCCCTTGGTGAGAACATCGGCTAGCTGGTCTCCAGTCTTCACAAATGGAATACGTATGAGGTCACTCGTGAGTTTTTCCTTGATGAAGTGCCGATCAATCTCCATATGCTTAGCTCTATCATGCTGAACTGGATTATTAGCTATGTTGATTGTGGCCATGTTGTCACAGTATAGTCACAAGGAGTCAGTCTGATGGATTTCCAAGTCTCCCAACAGTAGTTTAATCCATAATAACTCACATACACTTGAGCCATAGCCCTAAATTCTGCCTCAACAGTAGATCTAGTAATCACATTCTGTTTCTCACTTCGCCATGTGAATAGGTTACCACCAACAAATGTGCAGTATCCGAAAGTTGATCGTCTGTCAGTGACTGATACAGCCCAATCTGCATCAGTAAATGCCTCCATACTGAGATGGCCATGTTTTTGAGAAATAGAGACCCTTTCCGGGAGAACTTCAGGATTCTCATAATTGCCTCTAAATGGGAAGTTCTAGGAACATGCATAGACTAGCACACCATACTCACGGCAATGGCAATGGCAATGCCAATGGCAATGGCGATGTCCGGACGTGAGTGAGATAAGTATATGAGCTTGCCCACTAGTCTCTAGTATCTCCCCCTGTCCACTGGCTCTCCCTCTTGATCCTTTCTGACCTGGTTCTAGAGGTGTATCACATGGTCCACCTCCAAGCAGTCCAATTTCCTTTAGCAAGTCAAGTACATACTTTCTCTGACATATGAAGATGCCATCCTTACTCCTAGCTACTTCAATACCTAAGAAATACTTCAAACTACACAAGTCTTTGATTTCAAACTTCTTAGCTAAGTATTCCTTCAACCGAGGGATTTCCTCCACGTCATCTCCCGTCAAAACAATATCATCAACACAAACAATGAGAGCTGCAGTCTTACCATGTGAGGAGTGTTTCACAAACAAGATGTGATCAGCTTGACTCTGCTTGAACCTATATTTAAGGATAGCTTGAGCAAACCTTTCAAATCAAGCCCTAGGAGACTGCTTTAGTCCATAAAGCGACTTTCGGAGCCTACATACTTTACATTTGGACTTGGCATCCGCAAAACCAAGGAGAATATCCATATAGACCTCTTTTGCTAGGTCTTCATGAAGAAAGGCATTCTTTATATCAAACTGATGAAGTGACCAATCCAAATTTGCAGAAAGAGAGAGTAAAATTCTCATAGAGTTCATCTTCGCAACTGGTACAAATGTCTCCTGGTAAGCTATCCCATAAATCTAAGTGAAGCCCTTAGCAACCAATTTTGCTTTATACT